AAAGACTATTTCCAAGTTCGCAATGGATACTTTCCCTTCTTTATTCAATTTTCCAAGCTCAAACTGCTCAATATATTCAAAAATTGTCTCCAGATATCTCACTGATATCCATAGCCAGCTGTGAAACATATTTTGTATCTGACAAATCTCAAGAGTCTTTATGGAGTCTTTCTGGGTCTTTATAGATATAACAAGTCACTTCCTTTTCTTACATTCTTCTGGTCAGTAGATGGTGCTCTTACTTTCTTTTAAATGCTCAAAGAGCTTCCCCTTAAGAGTTCCAAATCAAACATCACTCCAAAAAGTACTACTAAATGTATTCCTAATAAACTTCAAATATTTAAGGTTCTTTGAAGGTAGTTGGTCTGGACTTTCCCTTAAATCAAACTTAATTTCTTTATGGTCATTTCTTCTATTCTTTTAGGGTCATTTCTTCCATTCCATTCTTTCCCGATCTGTCAATAGCTCTGAAGTCACCACTATTTTCGGGGAGTAGAAAAATCCTACTCCACTTTTTTTTTTTTTTTTTGAGTCTCACTTTTCAAAACCTTTTTCATATTTAAATCAGGATAAATTCATTTGCAGAAAGTTAGAAAGTTCTCACCAAGTAGAGCCACATTGCTCCTTGATTTTTCCCTTCCTGTCTCTCACCAAGCTGTCACAGCTTTGGGGCAGCCATGTTGACCATCTTCTCTCCTGTCAGCTCCAAAGGGTTTCCCCTAGTTCTAATGGGAGATTGCCTTTCTCCACACAGTCTTCAGGGCTTCCCCTTTATCATCTTCCACCCCTCTGGGCTTAACTTTCACCACTGAAGGTCTCTGGATAGGCAAAATTAGTGGGAATAATGGAACTCCATTTCCCTAGTCCATTTCACTGTGACATTACTACCAGAAGAATATTGACTTTAGAAGGGCACGACTTACAATTTGGGTGGCATGCATTTATGTGGTATGGGAAAAGTAAAATATATAGATACTTCCAAATGCATTATATCAGGAATGCTCTGTTTTCAGTATGGGAAAGAATCAAACAGAAAAATTAAATGAAAATATTCTATCTGGCTATCCATGATGGAAGCTCTAATACATCCAAATGCTCTTGAACTGGAAAAAATTGTAAGGTATAATGATATCCTAAATAAACAAGGGGACTTAAAATCAAAACAGGAACTAAAAAAAACCAAGGAATTGATTTGGCCTGGTGGCCACATATTCAAATACAAACGTGACACAAGAAAAGTGCAGAAAGATATGGATAAAGAACTCCTAGAATTAGATCAGATATTTCTAGGGAGAGATGATAAATTAATAAAGAAAATATGTAACTACTTATTGAACTTTAAAATGGAAGAAGAACATGTAAAAGAAATTATGATAGTATGGGCCAAAAATTTTGGATATACTATAGAATTAGACAATTAGCAAAAACTTTAGGAAAGAAAGTACAAACAAATGATATCAACAACATATAAAGAAAACCTTTACAAAATGTTCTATACATGGCATTTGCCACCAGCAACAATGGCAAAGATGTTCCAGAACATATTGCCAGAGTGCTGGAAATGTAAACAAATACTGGGGTTCCTATTACCATATGCTGTGGACCTGTCCAGTGGTGAAAAATATTGGTTAAAGATAAAAAGATGGTAAGGAGAAATGACAACACGACAAATAGATTTAAAACCAGAACTGTTCTTACTAGGTATATTACCAGGGAAACATAACAAAAGAATTATATATTTAATATTACATGTAATAACAGCAGCGGGAATTATGTACGTGCAAAATTGGAAAAAAGAAGATATACCTATAGAAGAAAATGTAATAAAAAAATACTAGATTGTGCCAAAATGGACAGGTTAACGATGAAAATTAAGGATAAAGAGGAAATAGAGTATTATTTAACTTGGGACTTATTTTATAATTGACTAGAAAATAGAAGCAGAAGTTGTAAACTTATAATTAAGGACAATCAATGAAATAGAAATATAGATAGATAGATAGATAGATAGATAGATAGATAGATAGATAGATAGATAGATAGACAGACAAATAGATAGAAAGATAGATATACATATATAGATATATATAAGCAATAATACCATATGTGATGACCCAGGGCATGGCACAAAGGCAACACAGTTACATAAGTAAGAAAAGTCCCTTTAATACCTCCAACTTTGCCCCCAATGTCCAATTACCTTCGGCTGGAGAAAAAACTCTCCCAAAAAAGAAGAGGGGGTGGGCCTGGATCTTCCTCTGAATTCCCTAGGCCTTGTCTATCTCTTCCCTGCTCTGCCCAGCTGAACTTTGCCCTTCCCAGTTCCTTCCACAGCCACTGGAGCCACACTCCCACTCCCTGTCAGCTGCTTGGCCTCCCCCTCGGAATCAGATTCCGACAGGGGCATGACACCATAAGCAATATTATCACTGGATTATGTTTGATTATAAATTAAATTGTATAGGGCAATTAGAAGTGAAGATTATATTGTATATATTATGAGAATAATGGTTAAAATTATGGTATGTATAATATTATGTGTATTTAAAAGAGATTTGATATAGACAGTACACTACCGTTGCAGAAATGGAAATGTTATATATAACAAAGGAAAATCTATAATAAAAATATTTTTTTAAAAAAATAAGTAGAATAGATAGATTATTGACACTTTTGAACTTTGTTATTGGAAAATCCTCCTGGAATACTGTGGACACGGTCAAGAAAACCAACCATCTAAACAAATCAACCTGGAGTTTTCATTTGAGGCACAAATGATTAGGCTCAAATTATCCTATTTCAGATACATTACTTAAAACCTAATGCCCTAGATTTATTGGGAAGATGGAATATAAGAGAAGAATATGATCAACAGCAAGATAGATGGACTCAATATGCAATGGTGATTTTTTCCCCCCTGTAATGGCAAGTTCTTCTTTCAAATATTTAAAGTATGTTTACTGTCTTTCAGGTTAGCAAAACAGAAATACATCAAAATCTGCTAAAAGTGGTGCTAGAAAGCAAAATTAATTTTGATAAAATATATAGGATAAAGCTTAATCTAGTGGAATTAATGCTTATATTTTCTCCTTTTTCTTTCTTTTCTACACAAGTAGTATATTGTCTAGTACTACAGAAATAGCAGGCAAAAAACAAAACAAAAAATCAAGTTCCAACACAAATTCACCCATGCAACAGAATGCCAAATGGTCTTGAATTTTAGTAAAATAGGATGAAATTAATAAATTAACAAAAATGTGCACATATAGGGCAAAAATCAAGGAAAAACACTACTTGAAAATATCAGTCTGGCTCTCCACGATGGAAGCATTAACACATCTAAATGTGATGGACACGGGAAACATTATAAGATATAAAGATATTCTAAATGAGAAGGGGGAATTGAAAAACAAACAGGAATTAAATAACCAAGGGATAAATTTAATATAGTAACCGCATGCACAGATACAATCTAGATACCAAAAAGATACCAAAACATATGGTTTCTATAAAGAACCAATGAAATTGGATCAAATTCTAACAGGACCAGAGGATAAACTGATTAAAAAATTATATAATTACTTATTGTCTATTAGAATGGAAGAGGAGCAAGTAAAGGAAACTATGATAGCATGGGCTAAAAAAATTGAGTATTCCATAGAATTGGACAAATGGCAAAAGCTGTGGGACAGAAACTATAAATAGACACTGTCTATTGCATATAAAGAAAATTTATACAAAATGTTTTCTAGGTGGCACTTCCCACCAGTAAGATTAGCCAGAATGTTTAAGGATATGTCTGCCAAGTGCTAGAAGTGCAACCAAATTGCAGGCATGTATTATCACATGTGGTGGACATGTTCAAAAGCAAAAAAAATAAAAATACTGGACTAAAATACATCTGGCTAGAAAAAATGATAAGGGAATATACAGATTTAAAACCAGAAATATTCCTGTTGGGCATCATACTGGATAAATATAGTAAAAGAAAGGCATATTTAATAGTACATGTGTTAACAGAGGCCAGAATCGTGTTCACACAACATTGGAAGGAAGAGATCTTCACAGAAGAAAAGATAATAACAAAAATTTTAGAATATGCAAAAATGAATAAACTAAGATCTGTTCTATCATTGGTTAAACAAGTGAAACATGAGTTAGAAATTCGAAGATTACAAGAGAAAGATTAATCTCATGATCAGGGTTGTTACTTATTACTTGTGATTAATTTTGATTAATTTTACTAATTAATATGTCTCAATATTATGAAGGAAAAGCACTGTTATCACGAAATTATCATTAGAGAAGACTATTACTATGATGAATATTACTACACACACACACACACACACACACACACACACATATGAAAAAGTGCACATACAAAATTGCCTAATCAATATGATCAGGTTTTTTTTCTCACTAGGTGAAAAAATATGGAACATTATGTAGTTCTGCACTCTATGTACTGTATGATCAATATTAATTTTTCAAAATAATTGTAATTGTGTTATGTAAATATGTCCACTGATAATGAAACAACTGATGATGAAATGTCAGCTCTAATTTTTCTTTTTAACACTAGTTTGTTTGCAGCTCCAATTGATTATTTTAGAGGTTGCTGACTTCTGGAGCCAAGGAATGCATAGAACATTTTTTAAAAGCTACAAAATGAAAAATGCTACAAAACATAGAGGCTTTTTATTTTTTTAAAAATCCTGTGGAACACCTATTTTTACAAGTATAATGCAACATTCCCTAACTCAGTGTGCAGAAAACAAAGCTAGCAATTTTTAGCAACTCTGAGCACAAAAATGGCCCTGGGAAGTTACATGGATTGTTTAAACCTGGCTTTATAGATTGTTAATCAAATTATTTGATGAGCTATTGACTTTTTAGAAGAAAAAGCAATAGAAACTGGATTAGAAACACATCTCAGCTATGTATGCAAAAAGCAATTAATATTAAATTCATAGTGACAAAAAAGCATGCACACTTACTGTGGCTAATTCGTCAAACTTTCCAAAGAGTTCATTCAGAAGCTTCACTAGTTCTTGAGCAGTGCACTGAGATGCCAAACTGGTAAACCCCACAATGTCTGCAAATAATATACTGTAAAATGAAAGGAAGAGTCAGAAATATTTTGCCAAAAACTATATGTTAACATTTTAAAGGAATTCACAGAGAAAATAAGGGAATGAACATAAAACAAAAATATATTATATTATAATCCTCTGTTTTTAATCTACCACAAAAAGCAATGGAAATACTCCAGAAAATTATGAAGTTAATGAAATTACAGTATTTATGCTAGTGTATATTGTTTGTACTGTATTTTCATTGAATAACTGGGATATTGGATCAAAACATTGGCAAATCTTGGCAGTGCAGTTGTGAAACTTGCTGCAAATTGGCAAGAAATATGTATGTGAAAATATTAAAAGTTGACCACATAGAATCAGCAAATTCTGATGACTGCAAATTATTTTAAGTAACCAGCCTTGTCTTGGTCATGCCTTGAAGGGAGTACTCTGTCAGCAAGGGTGCTGGCAGAAGCATGGATTGCAGATCTCAGCTCCGTCAAATCTCTCATAAAGCCGAGCTAATATTTGTGAGTTAATTTGACCATCATGATATTTCCTTCATGTTTATCACTTCCTGTGTACATTTGTATTATCCCTGTCCCTTACTGTGATTTTGATTTAGATGAAAGCTATCTCTATAAATTCCAATGATATCACCATACCTCAGTGCAAGTACGGGTAATCCTCAACAGTTCGCTCAGTGACAGTTCAAAGATACAACAGCACTGAAAAAGTGACTTATGATCATTTTTCACACTTATGACCACTTATGACCCCACGGTCAGGTAATTTACATTCAGATAGTTGGCAACTGACTCACATCAAATGGTAGCAGCATCCCAGGGTCATCCCGGGGTCATCTGATCCCATTTTGTGACCTTCTGACAAACAATTCAATGAGGAAACCTGTTCTGACCCAAACCTGGTTCCAAGTGAATGAACAAAACAAAAATAACAGCACAACCTTTTACTGTTTCATTTACAAATCCTGTTTCTTCACAGATAAAAGGCTGCTTCCAACTAATTAGCTCCAACAAGAAAGAGCCTTGCCAAGTTTTTGCAAGGCTGCCAAGAACAACAGATAAAGTTCCTACACAATAAATCAAAGAGTCTCCAAACACAACTTGGGTATTCTAACGTCCACCAGGCTCAAGTATCAAACTGCTTTGCCTTCTTCAAAGAACTGCAGTTTCTCAGCTGTCTTTTATCTTCTCAGGGAGGGGCCATTACTTTCCAGCCTTACTCCCAATCACCTGTGCTGATGCAGCTGCTCTTTCCTTTGAGCAGCCCTGCATGCACGTGCACTGGGGATGGGCTCCTCGGGGGCCTCTTCATTACTACTGCCAGCCTTCACAATCTCCAAAGGCAGCATTCCATTCCCTGATGGTCCTGGCCCCATCCCTGCATCACACGCAGGCCCCTCATCTGAGTCCTCACTCTCTAAGACCTCAGCCGTCCGCAGCTGCTCTAGGGCGAACCACAACAAAATGAGATTCACTTAACAACCATGTTACTAATTTAACAATTGCAGTGATTCATTTAACAACTGTGACAAGAAAAGTTGCAAAATGGTGCAAAGCTCACTTAACAAAGGTCTCACCACCATAAATTTTGGGCTCAGTTGTGGTTGTAAATTGAGGACTACCTTTACTTCAAAAGAAGTGCTTTTAAACATATAGGACTACACAGAAAGAACCTCTCTTCAACTAATTAAAGCAGCAAAGTCTTTTACCAGGCTCATGTGGCTTCCCTCATAGGTATCTCTGAATGACCATGTCTTTTTTACCATGATATTTTACATTTTTATCACTAATATTTTTATGTTGCTTTATTTAGTTCAAAGCAAGATATAACATAAACAGAAAATTAACTAGTTTCTAGATCCCTCAATTAAAGCCTACAGGCCCCTTATTACCTTTGTTGCTCTTCTCTGCACTCTTTCTAGAATTTCAGCATCTTTTTAATATCTTAATGACTGGAATTAGATATGGTATTCCAAGTGTGGTTTCACCAGTGCAATATAAAGTGGTCTTATCACTTCATATGATCTTGATACTATCCCTCTGTTGATGCAACAATTGGTGAGATTTCCATCTTACCAATCACTTAGGATTTTCTTCATTTTTTTCTAATTACATTTATAGTATTAACAGCTTTAAAAGTTGTAATGGCCCCCACTGGGTGTGAAACCTCCAGATTTCCATCACCAATCACAGTCCTTTAGCCTTTATTAAAAAAAAAAACTTTCTATCAGCCTTTATACTTTCTTCAAATCTATTAGTCATCCACCATATGGAGGTCTCATATGCTATGTAAGTCATTCTTGAATTCCACAAAGCCATGCTAAACCTTTTAAACAAAAATAAAATCTACATTTTGTTTCAATACTATGTGTGAATCAGCTGCAGTATATATCTCTATATACTCAAGGGTAGAAGATGGCTGCTGTTTTTGTTGCTGCTGCTAAATGAGCTGTGTTTCTTATGCAGGTTCTTAAAAAAATAAGGGTTGGGTTAAATAAAACAGGAGATGTGTGAGGCAAGTAATGTCTTTTTAGCTTATTCCTTTCTACAGAACAGTGATTTGGCCTCCCATTAAGTAGCTTAATGGGAATAGATTAACGTGTTCATGGAGTAGATGGCTCACCCAAGTCCCTGAGACACTGCATACAATTCAACTATGAATGACTTGAACATGGAAGTGCTGGTGAAACAGTAAACCCAGCACCCAGCAAGGGAATGTTGTGGGAATAGAACACTTATCAGAGAAAGGCGTGGGGTAGCAGTTCTCAACAGGTAATCTGGAATACTTTTTGCCAGCCTTTTATAAGAATGAATGTTTTAATTTATTTAGTAGGTTAGTTTATTTTACTTTACTTTATTGTCATTGCACCTCATACAACGAAATCAAACACCATATTTAGTGCACATCATGACCATGAAAACAAACACAAACACACATCCTTCACACTCCACACATTGAATTGAAAACCCCCGACACCACACCAACATTGCAGTATATAGTAGAATTCAACAGAACTACTGCTCTGGATAGAAGCTGTTTTTCAGCCTATTTGTCCTTATTTTTATTATTCTGTACTGACTCCCAGATGGTAATAGTTCAAAAAAAGGGTGCCTGGATGAGATGGATCTTTGAGAATGTTTTGAACTTTCTTAAGGCAGTGGGAGCTATAAAGTTCTTCCAAAGAGGGGAGGGGGCAACCAATGATCTTCTGGGCAATGATGTTAACCCTCTGGAGTGCTGTCCTATCTGCCACTGTGCAATTGGCAAACCATACACAGGTGCAGTAAGTTAAGGTACTCTCTATAGTGCAGCGGTAGAAGGTCACCAGCAGTTTTTCATTCAGTTGTTGTTTTCTTAGAAGTCTCAGGTAGTATAATCTCTGCTGGGCCCTTTTGACCGGTGCTGCAATGTGAGCACCCCAGGTCAGGTCCTCTTTTATGGTAACACCCAGAAACTGAAAACTGGCCATTTGCTCCACTCTGTCTCCATTGATAAGCAAGGGCTGGGTGTCTGATTTGTTCCTTCTATAGTCCATTATATAAGCTCCTTGGTCTTATTGGTGTTAAGGACCAAGTTATTGTCTCAACACCATCAAAGCAACCAATCCACCTCATCTTGGTAGGCAGACTCATCCCCCACAGAGATGAGTCCCACTACTGTTGTATCACCTGGAAATTTAGTAATAGTATTACTAGTGTGAGTGGGAATGCTGTCATGCACATAAAGAGTATAGAATAAGGGACTCAACACACAACCCTATGGTGTACCAGTGTTAAGAATAAGGGCTGAAGAGGTATTACCTAATCAGACCCTCTGTGAGCAGCCAGACAGGAAATCCATAATCCAAAGGCAGATTGAATAAGAAAGCCCAAGGTTCAGAAGGTTAGACACTAGTTTATGTGGAAGAATTGTGTTAAATGCAGAACTAAAATCTACAAAAAGCATCCTCACATAGCTCCCCTCCTGCTGCTCTAGATGAGTCAAAGCAGTGTGAAGAATGATGGCTATAACGTCCTCTGTAGATCTATTCTGTATGCAAACTGGTGTTTATCAAATGTATGTGGAAAACAAGAAATGATGTGCCGACAAACCAACTTCTCAAAGCACTTCATGATGATAGGAGTGAGTGCCACTGGTTTGTAATCATTGAGGTTATTGATAGGGAACTTCTTTGGCAGCAGAACAATGATGGAAGCCTTCAAACAAGATGGAATAGTGGACTGGGATAAAGACCGATTGAAGATCCTGGTAAAAACTCTGATCAGCAGAGTTTTTAAGCACTCACCAGAGATTCTGTCAGGACTGGCAGCCTTTCTAGGGTCTATAGCCCTCAGAATGCTCCTTACCTCCTGTTCCTCCACAATGAGGTGGGGGCTACAATTGGTTGGTAGTTGTATTTTAGCTGTCTCTATGTCTCCACTTCAAAGCAAGCAAAGAAATGATTCAGTTCCTCTGCCAATGAAGCATCCCCCTCAGCAGGGTGACATTGGTCAATTGATAATTGGTAATTTGTTGAATCCCTCGCCACACCTGCCTCATGTTATTGCTATAAAAATTATCCTCAATCTTCCTCTTATAATCAGTCTTGGCCTTCCAAATACCTTTTTTCAGATTAGCTCTGGCAACACTCTATCTTACCCCATCACCAGACCTAAAGGCCTTGGTCCTAACATGCAAGAGGCGCTGGACTTTCTTGGTCATCCAGGGTTTCTGATTGGGATACATTTATCCACAGTGGTAGTATATGTGCAGTGTTTGATATCGCACAAAACAGTCACAGTGTGCTTCTCTAGGTCAGGGTGGTAAAAGATGTCCCAATTGGTGTTTTCAAAACAACCCTGAATTTTCCCTAACAAATGCTAGCTTTCCTACTGGATTGAGGTATGTAATGAAAGAGAGATGGATTCTGAATGATGGATGTGAAAAGGGAACTTGAGGAAGAAAAGCAACAACCCAGAGGTTTTGTTAGCAATATTGCTGAATATTAAATTTACAGTAGATAATGTTGAATTAGCATTATGTAATCTAAAGCCATCGCTATCCACAGGACCAGATGGATTATGTACTTTTTTCCTGAAAAAGCTTGCTACCATCCTAACTGAACCTTTGCGTACAGTTTTTGAAGTATTGTTTCGAACTAGTTCCCTGCCAGATCTATGGTCATCAGCTATAGTTATACCAATTTTTTAAAAAGGTGATCCTAGTTCAGTCAAAAATTATAGACCAATTTCTTTGTGTTGTATTACATACAAAGTTATGGAATCAATTATAAATCTATTAATTGTTCACCATTTAGAAACAAATAATGTGCTACCTGACAAACAGTTTGGTTTAAGAAAAACTCATCCTGTAATTTACAACTTTTGCACTGTAAAAACATCTGGGCTACATGTCTTGATCAAGGTAAAGCTGTAGATGCAATTTACATAGATTTTTGTAAGACTTTTGATACAGTAGTACATGATAAACTGCTGTTGAAATTAAACTCTTACAGCATTTCCGCACATTCGCACAAGTAGATTGTTTTCCTGTCTAAAAGACTGCAGAAAGTCAAAATAGAGAACTTGCCGTCTAATCCTGCATCAGTTAATGGTGGTGTTCCACAAAGCAGCGTTTTAGGTCCCACACTTTTTTTGTTCTATATCAACAATTTATGTGATCAGCTTAAAAGCAATTACATTCTTTTTGCCGATGATGTAAAATTATTCAATTCTACAAATAATTCTTTGTTTTGCAAAGTGGTCTCAACTATGTGTTTGTTTGTCAACTTCAAATTTTGATTAATAAATACTCTGCCTTACATATTGGTAAACATAATCAGAATGTCAAGTATAAGCTAGATGGCATTGATCTAGCAGAAGACCCTCACTTTCTTAAGGACCTAGGTGTACTTATCTCTGATGATCTATGCTCCAAAGCTCACTGTAACAGCATTGCTAAAAGAGGATTAAGAGTTGTAAACTTAATTTTGGAAAGCTTTTTTTCTGGAAACATTGTATTACTAATTAGAGCTTATAAAACTTATGTAGACCAACTTTAGAGTATTATTCAACTGTTTGGAATCCCCACCATATATCTGACATCAGTACAATTGAGCGGATTCAGAAGTACTTGCACTCTTCTGTACACAATAGAACTTCCTACGCTACTAGGCTCAAATTCTCAGTTTGGATAACTTAGAACTGTGTTGCTTGCAATCAGACCCAGGTACTGCAACATTATATGTAGTAATGTTTTATCTGTAAATGAGTTTTTCTGTTTTAATCACAATAATACACGCATGAACAACCGTTTTAAACTCTATATAAATTGTTCTAAATTTGACTGTAAGAAATATGATTTCTGTAACAGAGTTGTCAAAGTCTGAAATGTTCTACCTGATTCAGTTGTCTCATCTACAAATTTTCAATTTCAGTCATAAATGGACTTCCATGGACCTTACTTCATAATTAAGTGGAGGGGGCTTGCATAGGTAATGTGCCTATCGTCCCTGTCATTATATTTTTATTCTCTTATTCTTGTTCGGGTTTTTGTTTGACAAATTCCAATAAATAAATAAATAAAATATGCCTTATTGCCTTTTTGACATCAGGTGATGCAGCATCTTATTTTTTATAGACTGTTCTATGATTTCTTCCAAGTGATTTCAGATTGATATTCTAAATGCAAGTTTATTTTCAGGTATGTAATTCTAAATAGTTTTTATCTATAAAAGATCATACTACAAACATTCAGAATTCAATGAAATATATAAATGAAGCAGTTCAGTAAAATAAGTATATCTTCTTGCTCTTTGAAGCTTGGAAGCAAACGTAAAAATTTTGCTCATATTTGCATGTGAGTCACGTGGAAATATATCCCTAAAGGTAGTGAGTGTGGGATCAAACTCAGCAAGAAACAAACCATCCAGTATTTGTAAAAAAAAATAGATATAACTAATTCTATCGGGATCTTGGTACTGTAATAAGAAAATACACAGAATAGTCTCCATGAAATAGGAAAGAAACAAGTTGCACAATCCTGAGGATCAGAAAATAATTAAAATTAATTTAGAATCTGTATTTTATTATTCTCAGATCTATGTTAAACATCAAAAATAAGCAGACATTTTGATGTTCAAGTAGTGTAACTGCAAATGCCAAATTGTGCAGAAATAGTAGTCATTTAGATGTTTCACGTAAGTGTCAAAAATACTAAATTAATATTGTATAATTTGGGCTTGTCAAAAGATATATAGACAGAAATAGAACATTTCTGTTTGTATCTGAAAAGAATTCCTGTAACACGTTCAGCTAAATTCTGAATTTAAAAAATCACCAGGCCAAATAATTCTTCAGTCATGGAAATCATTGAGGGCTTCTGTTACAAATGAAACCTAAAATTTAGTAACTAACTTGAATTCCAAAACATCCTATGAAGAGTTTCATGAAAACACTGTTCATCTCTGTTAAAAACTAGCATGGCATTTTCTACTTTACTGACTCGAAATAAGTTGATACACTCTTCACTTGCAGACACTCAGATTTTCATTGCCTGGGTTTTTGCTTTTCACTACCTCATATTACTGTAGATACATGAAAAGTTTATACAGCCTGATTTATTTTGTAAGTTCATATCAATCCTACCTAACATTGTCATGCCTCTGAATGTAAATCTTATGGAAAATTCTTTCAGGTGGCTTAAGGAAATCTTCCTTCATTTCCATGGCAACATTTCTGGGCAAAAGGCTCATCAGGAGTCGTTCCTAAAAATAAGAACAAACATAATTGTGAGAAACATGATAAACTTTTCTTTTTTTCATTACATCTAGTAAACTGCAATATTTTTGAGACTATCTATTCTGAACAGAATTAACGAAGTGTTTGATAAACTAGAAGAAAGGGACATCTTGCAAGTCTTGAATTGGAGGTAAAAGTCGGGAAACCCCTTGCTTCTACTATGGCTTTTGTCCTTTGAAATAGTATGTCCTCCAGAAGATAGAAGAGCTCCTATTTATCAATAAGGAAATCAAGAAGCTCCTGTTTCACAGACTTCAAGGAATGGCTGCTATAAATCCTGAGATATAATTTTGGTTTCTGACAATATGTACAAGATCACTGATACTAAGACTGATACTTATTTTTTTGATTGTTAGAGATGACTTTATTATTAGAAATATTGATAATTAATGACCAATTCTGGTATAAGCATTTATTTTTATTTTACTTATTGCTTTTGTATCACATTATATTATAAGGCATCTAGACCAAAGAAATGAGGCAGCATACAAACTTTAACTATAAATAATTAAAAGTTAATATAATAATTCATTCTGTCTAATTTATATATTTAGTAAAGTAATATCCAATCAAACCAGAAAACAGAATTAGAATTATCCCAGGCATAAGATTATGAAGATATTTAAAATGTTCATAATTTAATACTGCACTTATCATTTTCATCCAGCAGTGGATCTGCTTTCACCTTTCAGAAATATCAATTATTTTCATCCAGCATAAAGATCATGGATATGGCTGTGTACACCTTTAAGTGTTATATGAAATATATGGCTTTTGATTAATGCAACTCCAGCAACCCTAGCATTAAACTGATAAATGCTGATCAATAATTAAATGCTATTTATAACATCCCCTTATAAAAGTTATAACTTTCAGAAACCTATAGATGTTCTTGTTGATGATTTTTTACGAATAGATATGTGATAAAATTTCATTTTTGTCTTCATGTTTCTTCCGAATTTCTTAAAATGATAAGAATGGTTGGTAAATATTAACATTCCTAAAAAATCTTCAAATGTTTAATATTAGTCATAAATCACTATCCATGAAGTAAGATGGAATGGATTGGCCTGGTGATTCTTTGCTTTCTGGAAAAATGGTAGGATCCACTTATCATGTATTTTTGAGATGCTATCTTAATATCTTCATTCCTTCTACAGCATAAACTACCTTGCTGAACAGAACTTCAAGAGCAGATAATTGGCTCTTATTATCATTATGATCAAAATGATATTAATAACAGCTTATAATAGAATCTATAATATTAGTGTGTGAAAGAATGTAGGATTAATTGCTATCTTTTCTGTCTGCTGTTTTGGAATTTAATTAACCTGTTCTTTTGCTACACCTAGCAAGGCAGATTATAAAACAATGAGACAAAATTATTACAAAATTATTTACTGAAATTGGTAACAGTTAAACATTAATTAAGACTATGATACTGCTTAAAAGTGGCAATTTTGTATTATCTAACATCCTACTGTGGTTTAAAAAAACTGTTCTTTTAATCATTTTTTTTAAAAAACCTTTTAATTAATAGTACTTTTAAATTTTTTAACTAATGACGTAGACAAGGAATGTTTAATATTTTTGAGGCTGACTCTTCAAAATTTAGAAGTATACCCAGATTTTTTCCAATGGTTAGAGAAAATTCAGGAATAATGGAGCCATACTAAGGTTTTTAAAAATCTTATTGACATATGAGATTAGGCATTCTTTTTCTTCGAAAAGTAACTAGTATAAGCAGCTAAGTCTTTTTTCAAAGCTCTTATTACATAGCTAAGATATCACAAATCATTTCGCATGATCATGTAAGCTTCATAAGTTCAAGTCCCATAAGAAACAGAATAGATTGGTTATATGGAAGACGAAGAGGATGGGTAAAATACAGAAATATACATAATGCTCTATTCTGGAAAGAGAAAACAAAAGATTCGCTGGATCCTAAGGATTGATCCAGGAGATGCCAGAATAGGCTTCTTCATTCTGATCACTCTTTTAGGTAGCAATAACCATTATGTTTCTAAAACCAAATTGCAATCCTTAACTCAGGAATAGCAGAATTTAGCAAACACCTTGTCCTATATTTTGTTTTTGTCAATGGCAAGCATTTATTCAGATTTCTAAGAGTATTTCCAATAGTTCTTGTTAGTGAAATTTGATCTACTCCAACCCTCCAGCTCACAATCTTTCTTCAGATGTTTTCCCTGGATAACCTAGTCAATAACCATACCGGTTCTTGAATTAACATTAGAACACTAATGTTAATTTAAGATTGCTATGCAAATCTGTAGCTTTCCCTGCTTATAGAAGATTACCTTACAGTCTGCTGAAAACAAAATTAAAGTGCTTTGTATGTTCACATTCTGCATTAATGTTTCATTACGGAAAATAAAATACTAGATTCTGGCTTAGGAAACATCATCATTTCGTTTTTATGATTCTCATTCTCCACCCCAACCTGGCATCCAACCGCATCACATTCAATTTAGTTAATCAGTAAAGAATAGAAGAAAGAAAAATACAATTTTCGTTCGTTTTCCTAAAACATCTTTACAGAAAATTGCTGGCTATCTATTGTGTGTTTTCACTTCAGATCCATTAACCTGTTATGTGTTCAGAGTATTGCGGCGTAAATTCAGCACCAGAAAAGTAACACAGATGACTGAGGCTTCATTTTACTTCTTTATAAAACTATAAAGTAAATTTTACAATGCCAGTTGTAGATTTCTCCAACATGGAGCAAACTCAAACAGAAGCAGACATGTTACAGGTTCAGAGCAGAACAGCCACTCAGGAGCTCAGAAACAGACATCAGTTTCACTTTAGTTCAGCAGGCAACAAGACACACAGCAAAGGAGAGAAGCAGTTTCATTTTCAATAGACAGACTCAGAGCTGCAGAACCTAATATAGAGCCACACCTAGGCTACTTCTAGTTGCAGTTTCCAAACAGTCCTCATTGGCTGACCTTGTTACTATGCTCTATTCCAGTTTATGAATATACTCTGACATTATGCCTGCCCTGAGTTCAGAATAAATTATATTCAAGTCATTTTCTAAAGTAATAGAAACACACCTAATCATTTCTATCTGCTAAATAAATAGTACTTGGAGGTGAAGAGCTTGAAAATCAAACACTTATCAGTATTATAAGATCCTGTTTTATTTCAATTCTCTATTTACTTAACTGTAACCTCTGTAACTGTATTAAATCAATCAGAAGAGAGCTGAAAGGGACTTTGGAGGTCTTCTAGTCTAGCCCTGCTCAAGCAGCAAGCATACCATTTCAGATAGGTGCCTGACTGTCCAATCTCTTCTTAAAAATTCCAGTGATGAAGCACCCACAACTTCTGAAGGCAAGCTGTTCCACTGATTAATTATTCTCACTATTAGGAAGTTTCTCCTTAATTCCAGATTGCTTCTTTTCTTTAGTTTCGTTCCATTATTTCTTGTCCTGCCTACAGGTGATTTGAAAGGTAAATTGACCCTCTCCTCTTTGTGGCAGCTTCTCAAATACTGGAATAATGCTATCATACCACCCTTAGTCCTTCTTTGCTTTAGACTAGCCAAGCCCTAATCCTGCAACCATTCTTCATATGTTTTAGTCTCCAGGCCTTTAATCATTTTAGTTGCTCTTCTTTGCACTTTTTCCAAAGTCTCTAAATCTTTTTTGAAATGTGGTGACCAAAACTGGATGCAATATTCCAGGTGTAGCCTTACTAAGGCTTTATAAAGTAGTACTACATGATTTTGATTCTATGTCTTTGTTTTTATACAACCAAGAGTTGCATTAGATTTTTGGGGGGTTGTTCTTGCACACTGCTGACTTGTGTTTAAGTAATTGTTGACTAGGACTCCGAGGTCTCACAATTATGGTTTTTGAGCTAGGTTTCACCTAATCTGTACTTCTACCTTTGGTTTTTCCTGCCTAAATGTAAAGCTTTGCTTTTCTCCTCATTAAATTTCATTTTGTTTCAGATGGCCCATTATTCAAGTCTGTTAAGATCTTTTGGGGATCCTGAGTTTGTCTTCTGGAGTGTTGGCTATTCCTGCCAGTTTAGTGTCATTTGCAAATTTGATGAGTTCTCCTATTGGTATTCCCTCCTCTAAGTCATTTATGAAGGTATGGAAGAGTATTGGGCCTAAAACAAAATCTTGTGATACCCCACTGCTTACTTCCCTCCATTTAGATGTAGTACTATTAAGGATTACTAGTTGAGTATGGTTTGTCAGCCACTTACAAATCCATCTGGTGGTGATGCTGTATATCCCACATTTTTCTAGCTTATGAAGAAGGAGGTTGTGGTCTACTTTGTCAATTGCCTTGATGAAGACTAAATATTACTACGTCCACAACATTTTGCTGGCCTACTAATTTAGTAACTTTGTCAAAGAATGAAATAAGATTGGTTTGGCCTGATCTGTTTTTTATAAAGTCATGCTGGCTATTAGTTATAACTTTATTTGTTTCTAGATGATCACAGATCTGGGTTTTTGTTGTTGTTATTCTTTCCAGTATCTTTCTAGGTATTGATGTTAGGATTGGTCTGTAGTTTCCTGGGTCTGGCTTTTTCCCCTTTTTTGAAGATGGAAACCACATCAGCTCTGGTTCACCCCTCTGATAGTTCCCCAATTTCCAATATGTTTTTAAAGATATGGTACAATGGTTATGAAATAATATTTGTCAGCTCCTTCAGAACACAGGGATATAAAACATTATGTCCCAGTGATTATATTGATGAAGATCAGACAGATGTTCTCTTACCATTATTGCTCCTCTTGCTTATTTTTTATTGTTTATTTCTAGTCTGTCTTTTATAGTCTGTCAGTTATAGTTTTTATAGGTTGGGCTATAGCCTCTTGTTGGGTGAAGACTGATGCAAAGAATGAGTTAAAACAGTTCTGCTTTCTCTCTACTGCCTGTTACTTCTTTGCCATCTTCTTTCTTTAATCGACATACTGTTT